AATTAGCACAGAAACAGTACTATATAACATTTTAGACACATTCTAGACAGTTTATCAGCTAAAAAAAGTTAATTTTGGGGTAAGTTACTCTTTAAATTGGGTTTAATAGGGTTTTTTTTTCCGGAAGGAACTTGAAAAAAACACAAAAGCAATAAAATCAACAGGTGACTTTTCGTTTCGTGAACGCACAACCATGTAACACCTGCAGCTCAAACACAGCTCATAAAACCCCAGAAAGTTTTGTAACAATGGATGCACGCTGTGGAGTTACATGATCATAAGTGAGCCACGTGGGAATAATAATAATAATAATAATAATAATAATAATAAATTAAAGGGTACCTCCTCACCTTGATGTGAGCCAAGTCGTCGGTTTGAGTTTCAAGTCGCTGAATTTGCTCTCGACCTGCTGTGTTGGACCTAACAGAGAAATGAATGATTAAATCTTATTTTTGACATTTTCTGAATGAAGTCTGGTGAGGAGGTCGGACTCCCGGCTGTGGGACAGATCTCCACCTGGTTGCATCAGGCTTTAGAAAAGGTCACTCACCTGTCCTCCGTTGTGTAACCAGTTTGCTGGGACCTCTGGTGATTGTGTACATCATGCAAGGTCAGGAGCTGCTGGAGGTTCTGTCAGGGCTGAGAACCGGGTCCGAACATTGATTCGGAACTGAACTTCCAGTCGGTTCTGTTTGACGCAGCGTGCCTCAGTGTGTTGCCCAGGTTCAGCGGCTCCAGACTCGGCCTGACTCCGTCACGAGACCTGCGCTCAGAAACCAGAGTCATCTGTGGGAGTGTGAAGCCTTCACCTGGACTTTCCCCTTGTATCAAGGAGCCGTGTAGGTCATTCAAGGAGAACAGCGGAGGTCCACATGCCGGGTAAGGCTGAGTGAAGGCCGGGTGGACACTTCCTGAAGCCCAACCGGACCGGACCGGACCGGGTTCTGTCCTCTCTGCACCGGAGCCGACACCGCGACACCTTCTGTCACAGTTTACCAGGCTTATTGTGTTTTCATAAGCAGCCACAGACACCACGCGCAGCGAGTGTCAACTTAGACACAACAAATGACATGACTTCCTGTCAGTATTTTCAAAGTAAAAGCATCCAATGCTCCATAAACTCAGAATGCGTACGTTATCTTACGATAATCGTTAAACATCTCAGTAAAATAAAAACAAATTGTATGAGCTTTTCATGCTTTTAACTTAAAATGAAAACTGCGTTAAAGATTTTAATTTTGTATTAGTAGTAATGTAAAAACAGTTTAGGGATTTGTATCACCTTCAGACAGGTTTGGTAGTTTTAACATTAGAAGTTCACATTATTCATACTTTGTTCTTAAATTGCCTGTTTCAAGAAGCATTTGCCCGGAAAGTGCTGTTTAATAAATGTTTCTTTGTTTATTTATTCATTGCGTG